AGCTTCCATGTTGTGAAGAGGCAGGTTATTGGCTGATAGTTGGATGGGATGTACCCTTGGATGGGTCCTCCAGGATCAAGATAGTTTGCCCTTCAATTAAACATTCAGGGTGAGTCCAATCCTTTAGCATCTGGTTTCACTTATTGGGGCTTCATACGCAATCTCTGGATAGGGAGTTGTTAACTCCTTTCTGACCTTGTGTCCTGGCTCCCCCCTGTCATAGCATTTGCGTTGAATCTGTAGAGAAGAGGAGGAGAGTGGGATCCTTCATTCCACTCTCCTCTCCTCTTCTCTTGTTCTGCTCAAAACCAGAGGACATCAGGAGCCTTCTACTTCTCCCTCACCCTTCCACCCCACTTTGCTCGAAGACTTGTATTTATGGTTTCATTCAATCCGGATTTGCTGGTGAAGGGTTTTGTTTCTGATGAGTGTTTTCCTGGACTACCTGAGCTCCATGCTGGCCTGCCTGCCGATGTGCAGCTGATCTCAAACAGAGATCTATTGCAATAACTCCGACAATTAACGTTTTTTTTCCCTGTTTTTTTCCATGTTGCATTTTCATTTAAGATAAAATGATATTTTTATTTTGTTGTTGGCACGTGAGCAAAGATTTAACCTACAGTAAACAGGAAGTGGAAAGGCTGCAGATAGATGAATAGAATTAGAAAATCCCTTTATTGTTCCTCAGTGGGGAAAGCTAGACGTCACAGCAGCGATGACGCGTATTACAGGAGAAAAAAAGGAGAATAAAAAATAAGAAAAATGAATAAACAAGAAAACATAAATCCTGAATAGATTTTAAAAATGCTGAATATACCACAAGTAATGAATACCACTGATGTGTAACTGACTTGCTCGTGTGTAATTTGGTTATTCCACATTCAGTGTTAATGCAGAAATATGTTTGTTTCCAAATTTAAAGGTTCAAAATTGCATATATGTTGATAAAGAAAACGTGCAAATTTGCCGTCACTTTTTCAAAAAATATTAAGTTTGGCCCTCGACGCCGTCCCAGAGTTTCATTTCGGCCCCTTGTGAGTTTGAGTTTGACACCCCTGATCTAAACCATGATGTGAACAATCATACAGGGTGTGAGTAGCTCTGTAAGGTAGACGGTGCCAGGCTGTTCAATGCCTTATAGGCAGGAGTAAGATTTTAAAACGTACCCTGAAGGTCACCAGCAGCCACTGCAAATGTGCCAAGACCGGTGTAATGTGACTACATCTGCTGGTGCTTGTCAGAAACCTTGCAGCAGCATTCTGCACAATCTGCAGCCAGTTCAAGGATGAAACGGGAGCACCAATGTACAGTGAATTAGCATAATCCAAATGTGAGGTAATAAATGCGTCTATCACTGACTCCAAATGTGATCTTCGAACTATAGAGTTAAGGCACGTCAAACAGCGCAGTTGAAAAAAAATAAAACAACTATTTATCTGGGGTAGCATTAAAAACGATGTCCAGTTTCAAAGTACATGGGCAAGCAGTGAGCCTGTGTGTGGGGGGGGTCCACAAAAATAAACAATCAATGATGAACAAGAGTCTGCTTCTAGACCTGCAGAAGGAGACGAAGAAAAAAAAAAGAAAAGGGGCACACATACAACAGGAGCAAACTATCACTGCTTCAACCTGATGAGGAAATATAAAATCAACATTGTTTTATTGAACAATCACGATAATAAACCACAGTGTATTCAGTGCCAACCACAGCCTTAAGAAATCTGTTGAATGTGCCCAAGTCCATACTTATAAGAGATTAATCAGGCAGATGCCAAAAATCTTAAACCCCCTGACCCGGGAGCCACGAACAGTCAGGCAGATCAAGGCCCCACACAAGTGTGGCAGGGGAGGGGAAATGAAGATGTATATCAGCAAAAGAAGTCCCAGGAGAGGAGAGGAGTCAAAGGCCCCACCTGACATATACAATCATACACAGACACAGTCACACACTCCCTACCTCATGCTCACACATACACATACAACCTAAGACTTACAAAAATGCATTCCAGACACCCACTCATGCTCCCCACACACACCCTATTCACTCTGGTCCCAGTTAGGGATGGGTACCGAATTTGGTACTTTTTAAGGTACCGACCGAATTCCATTGTACCGACAGAGCACCGATTCACGTCATTTCAAACGGTGCCTCGTTTTGGTACCCGTCCATCATAAGGAGAACTTGCCAAGACAGTTGCGCATGCGCAAGAGCATTGTGCCGTTGCTCGCTGCAAACCAGTTGTAAACAGAGCAGCATGGTGGAAAGAACGCACGCTAAAGCTTGGGTCCACTTCACTAAATGTGATGGGTAACTGGGTGATGATGAAACCAGCGACAACGATCTAAGTGAGACATCCTCATCTTAATCTAAATATAAAATATAATCTAAATATATCTAAATATAATTAGCTTGATATGTTAGCTTCCGTTTCGCTAATGGTGCATTCGCTTTCTCCTCGGAACTCCGAATTCCCGACTAGAAGAACATGAACGCGCTCTAAAGTTTGGCTTCACTTTACTAAATGCGACGGGTGATTGGGTGAAGATGAAACCAGTGACAACGATCTAAGTGTGAGGCTTCATCGTTTTAATCTGCTCCAGCAGTTAAATAAACTGTTTAAGATAACGTTAGCTTGGTATGTTAGCTTCCATTGCTACCACTGTTATCAGCTAATGGTGCGTTCGCTTTCTCCTCAGAAATTCTAACTTCCCAGTAGGAAAAATCAAATGAAAAAAGACGGCAAAAGGAATGAAGATACTCAGTAATTTTAGTTCACAGTAAAGATGTTTGCTTCAGTTTAATTATCAGCTTATAAAACTACAAGGACGATGTTAAAATACAAACAGTTGAATGTTATTTATCGTGATATTTATCAAATGTTGTTATATATTGAGAAAAATATATATTTAATTATAAAAGAGACTTAAAATAATAAACACTCAAAAGTATCAAAAATTGGTACCGTTAAGTACCGGTATCGATTCATAGGTACCGGGAATTAGTACCGGATCGATTCAAATGTCAAAGGTACCCATACCTAGTCCCCGTACTGCTGCACAAAGGGTACAACCATTACCGGTTCCCAGAGTTCGACCCTTTCTTCTGAAGGTCACCAACAGCCACTGTAAATGTGCCAAGCCCAGTGTAAAGTGACGAAGTCTGCTGGTGCTTGTCAGAAACCTTGCAGCAGCATTCAGCACAATCTGCAGCCAGTTCAAGGATGAAACGGGAGCACCAATGTACGGTGAATTAGCATAATCCAAATGTGAGGTAATAAATGCATCTATCACTGACTCCAAATGTGATCTTCTAACTATAGATTTAAGGCAGGTCAAACAGCGCAGTTGAAAAAAAAACACACAACTGTATTTATTTGGGGTAGCATTAAAAACTATGTCCAGTCTCAAAGTGCACGGACAAGCAGTGAGCCACTCTGACCTGCTCCTGGTGTGGACTGACGGGCCATGGAGCTCGTGAATAAACCGCGCCATTGGCCTAACACGCTACATATGCTCCCGACGAGGATTGGAGGTACGCTTAAATGTGCTGCATTCAGAAGAACAACCATATAATAAATAAATAATAGACGTGCTATTTGTCATTGTACCAGCATTATGATATGATGTAAATTAGAGTCATGATTTTTCTGGGAGAATCTTCACTAATCTAGGCCACAGCACATGTTCTATTCCTTTTGGTTCCATGGAGGATAATGAAGGTTTATTCTCTATAAAACTGCATTCTGAACAACGTCTCTCTCTCTCACCACACTACATGCTCCAGTATCAGCACAAGCTCTACTGACATTCCACCTTGTCCTGACAATAAGAGGAGAACAGGGGTAGAAAGCTTATCTGGGACCAGTCCATAGTGTAAGTAGGTAAGTAGTAAGTAAATTTAATATAGCACTTATCACAGACATAGAATCACAAAGCGCTTCACATAGATCAAAATAAAACAAAGTAATAAAATCATAAATAAATTAACACCATAGAATATTAAAAATGCTGCTCAGTGGTGCAGTGGTTAGAGAAGGTCCTGGGTTCGCTTCCCAGCCTGGGATCTTTCTGCATGGAGTTTGTATGTTCTCCCTGTGCATGCATGGGTTCTCTCCGGGTACTCCGGCTTCTTCCCACAGTCCAAAAACATGACCAATAGGTTGATTGGTCTGTCTAAATTGTCCTTAGGTGTGAGTGTGTGTGTGCATGATTGTTTGTCCTGTGTGTCTCTGTGTTGCCCTGCAATGGACTGCCCCCCTCCCCCCGCGACCCTACATGGGCAAGCGGGTTCAGAAAATGGATGGATGGATGAAAAATCTTAAAAATAAGAAACTAAAAGGTTTAGTTAAAAGCTGCTTTAAATAAAAGGGTCTTTAGCTGTTTTAAAAAAATGTCCAGACTATCAAAGCTACGTAAGGATAAAGGACGATCATTCCAGAGTCGTGGTGCAACAGTCTGGAAGGAGCGATTACCTCGACTTTTATATCTGGTCTTTGGAACTTCTAGAAGGTTCTGGTGTGTGGACCTGAGGGCTCGGGTTGGAGCATAAGGCTTTAACAGTTCAGTAATATAGGGAAAACACAAACTGTGGTTTAGACCTCTCTGGGATTCTGAGAACTATTGTACTGGCTTCATTTAACTCCACAGGTGTGCTGTGGTGTATAATGTAATATGTATAATTAACTCTTTATTAAACCTATTTTGATATACAAAAATGCATTGTGGGTATTGTAGGTTAGCATCAATGCTTGTTATATTATTGATCCCTTCCTCTTATTGAAAAACATTGATTTCCAATTGACCATCAGACCTAAGAGTAATCATTTCCTGTAGTGCATAAATCCCCTTTGCTGTGATATCCTCGTGTTGCTGCGTGCTGAAGCTCAGCCAGGCTCTGTGGATCGCTGCTGATTGCATGCAGCTTCTGCAGGTGTCAGTACGACTGTAGCCAGTAGGAGGGACTTGATGCTCTAACTTCTCATTTTGCGTCTGCTCTCTATCCAGTCGTCCTGGTCCTGCTCGGAGAGGCGACGGGCATCAGCATCATCAGCAGCATCAGCACCGCATTCTGAGGAGCGCCATGAATCTTAGGCAGAAAACACGAGCGGAGGCTCACATTATCGCGCTTTTCCATTGTTGATTTGCTTTTATTTCGTTCTGTTTTTTTTTTATTTTGTTGCGTCTTGGCTTTCTTCCCCCCTCACCCCTCCTCTCTTTTTCCCACCCAATCTCTGACGCGCAAGGACACTACAGCATCCATCCACGGCAGAGCCGCGCACACAGAGCCTCCTCTGTACAGGCGCACCAGTCATCCTCTTTCCTTCCTTTCTACCTTCCTTCTTCCCACACTCCTCTCCTCTTCACTTGTTCTGCTCGAACCCAGAGGACATCGGGAGCCCTTCTACTTCTCCCCCCCACCCCTCCACCCCACTTTGCCCGGAGACATGGATCTATGGTTTCATTCGGTCCGGATTTGCTGGTGGAGGGTTTTGTTTCTGATGAGTGTTTTCCAGGACTACCTGAGCTCCATGCTGGACTGCCCGCCGATGTGCAGCTGCTCTCAAACAGAGATCTATTGCAATAACTCCGACAATGAACGGTTTTTCCCTTTACTCGCCTTGCAAGATAGCAACGGGACCAGCGTGGATATCGCGGACTTATTCAAAAACATCACCACCATGTAAGTAGCTGCGGTTTATGCTGCGCGTTTCTGAATCATTCATTGATCAGAGCCGCCGCCTGCTGTGATTTGACGTGTGTGTGTGTGTGTGTGTGTGTGTGTGTGTGTGTGTGTGTGTGTGTGTGTGTGTGCGTGTGTGTGTGTGTGTGCGTGTGCGCGCGCGTTGGTTCTGAGACTTTTCTCACTTCCAGCAGCCTCCTGGTGCTCGTGGTGGCTGGAGCAGAAACGTGCGCGTTCTTGTGCAAAACGAGAGAAATTGCGCCCACTCCTTCTGGTGAATTTCGGTCCCCTTGTGATCCCATAAAGTTGGCTCTCGGCTGTAGCCCCGCAGGCCTGAGAATGGCCAACACACAGGGATGATGCAGGTCAACTCATCCACTTGATTCCCGACCTGCACGGTCGGTTCCGACTCGCTAAACCCGATGAAAGCAGAAATAAATGGTGCAGTGAGGAGGATGCGTCCCTCTCAAACTTTATCACATCCGGTCCGGATGATGCAAAGGGGGAGGAATGGGGGTCACTTGTGGCTCTGGTGTAGCTGCAGATTATTATTCTGAGATGGGTTAGGATTTTAGAAATCCCCCCCCCCCCCTCCCCCCTCCATCCCGCACTCCCACACACCCCCAGAAGTAGCTACATTTTCATTCTGCATCCGCCTCCCCCCTTTCCCTGGCACCGATCCCTCCTCCCAACATCAAAGCTTTCTTTCTTGAAAAGTCAGGGGAAGAAGGGGTGGGGGGTGGGGGGGGTGGGGGGAGGGGGGTTATCGTGCCTTAAAATCTGAGTGATGGAGGCTGATTTGCATATAAAGTAAACACCTCCCGTTCTAATGCAGCGGAATCCCCGCACGGCTTCCCGGGACCTCTCCATCCCGTTTCCCTTCCATCAGACAACAACTTATTTGGTGCCACGGTTCACCGCCCGCCCGGGCCACTAGAGGGTACCCTGGTACCCTGAATGTGCTTCCGGAGCCTCGAACACACACGCAGGAGTCATTTACGTGACTGTTTTATCAGAATGCTGCCTGTTTGTTAGAACCGGTTTAACTCAGCTGCATTAAGGCAAAAACCACCAGAGGTAATCACTGTTAGTGATTAGTGTGACCGGAGGATGACCCGGTGCATACAGATTACCTCCAACCTGCTCCATCCCTTTTCATCAACCCCCCCCCCCCCCCCCCCCCCACCCACCCACCATGCTTTTTCCACAAAGTCACGCACTCATCGTCTTGTTTGCCTTTGAGAGAACCCGATGCAACTGACCCAGGACTAATTGTGCATTCCCAGCCAGACACCCACAGCCCCTTTTGCTGCTCAGCATGGACAGCACCATCCTCCCAGCACCACCAGCAGCTCAATGACAGCCTCTCAGAGACCACACCACCCAATGTCACACAGACTCACACATCCGATTTACATTCAGCACACAATCACCTATCGAATCTCTGCTAATTATCATCAGAACTAAGCAATTTCATGCTCCGTGCTAATTTATTACTGTCCAGATAGGCTTTGAAAATGGTATCCATAGTAATAGGAGGCAGGCAGAGGCTGAGCCCACGTACACCACAAGTGGTCCTCCATCCTCGCTCTTTTTAAGGAGGAAGATCCATGACAGGAAATAGTTTTCTTCCATTTGTCTGAAACAAAAAAATAGCCAAAGCTAAGTGAAACGACACCGACCAGCAGCAACAGGAAGAGAGAGAGAGAGAGAGAGAGAGAGAGAGAGAGAGAGAGAGAGAGAGAGAGAGAGAGAGAGAGAGAGAGAGAGAGAGAGAGAGAGACGTTGGTGTGTGTTGTGAGAGGGTGTACTGGTCACTCATAGAGAACTGCCAAGTCCAGATAATAGTTTTACAGTTTCCTCACGTTAGAGATTCATCATAAGAAGCATCGCTGCATGAAGCGGATAAGATCAGGCCTCACTGTGATACGTGTGTGTGTGTTGGTAGGGTGTGTGTGATTTTCTGAGAGCAGCCGAAGCTTTTTTCCTGGTTTGTGGAAGTGTGGCTGTGAGCTGAGCACAGAAATCCACTCAGTATTTCCACCTCTGGAGACGTTATGGCTGCAGGTTGTTTTATTTTATTTTTCTGCCTTTTTAAAGGTTTTGTGACTTTTCATTTTATTCTCAACATCACTTTTTATGCTAAACCAGTTTTAAACAAAGAGTTCAGTTCTTCTGTTTAGCCAGAATCACTAATCAAACATGTCACACAAGGTTTCATCGTGCCTTCCTCATGCTGCATATATTCCTAATACTGTTTCTTAGCTTGAGCTGGCATGAAGGCAGTCCGCTGTGGTCCCAACCATTTAAATCTGAACTGGTTTCATCTGGTTCCTGTTTGTGACCTGACTCGAAGAAGACTCAAAGGTGGTACAGCATCGATCAGGTCCCTGTTGTGTGAGTGTGTCACTAATTATGAGTTCTTCTCCACAACATCACACATAAAGATCTTTAGATAGCTTGTATGTGTTTTTGAACATATCAGGGCCTCTCGACCAGGTTATGTTTGGAAATGAGAACACAACACCTGCTAAAGTAACCGATAAATTATGGGATACCAAAAGAAATGAGTTTGAGAGAAAAGAAATGGAGTTAAACTTTACTTATTCATCTTCAACTAAATGTGTCAACAATTATCATTTAGAGTCATGTTCAAATATACAACGATTAAAAACAGGTACATCTTAACAGAATACACAAAGGTACATGTAAATATTGATGTTTTCATGCAATTATGGTGATTGTTTAACTAAACATTAGGTTAACATGCAAGTGTATGTAGGAAGAGGAAAGTAGCTTTTCAAAATAAAAGTGGGATGAAGACTACATCAGCACATTTATGGGTAAGATTATGTCAGTCCATTCAACCACCACCACCACCATCATCATCATCATCATCACCATTATCCCTATTTGGTTCTCCTGGTTAAAAGGACTCTCAGAGCATAGATTGGGAATCTCTTCACCCTGCTTTTATTTTGGTTAAACTAATTGCGTTAGTTAGCTACATGTTTGGTTTTAGCTCTAACATTTATGGCCCAAGGATCAGGTCTCTGCTTTTTGCAGATGGTGTAGTCCTGTTAGCTTCATCAGACAGTGATCTCCAGCTTTTGCTGGAGCGGTTCACAACTGAGTGTGAAGCAGCTGGGATGAGAATCAACTGCTCTAAATATGAGACCATGGTCTTGAGTCCGGGAAGGGTAGAATGCCTTCTCCGGGTCAGGGATGAGGTCCTGCCCTAAGCGGAGGAGTTTAAGAAAATCAGGGTCTTGTTCACAAGTGAGGGAAAGTTGGAGCTTGAGATCAATACAGTAGGGGGATTGGTGCTGCATCTGCAGCGATGCCGGCGTTGTACCGGTCTGTCGTGGTGAAGAGAGAGCCGAGCCAGAAGGGAACGCCTTGGGGTTCCACCCAGAGGAGCTGGATCAAGTAGCAGGGGAGAGGGAAGTCTGGGTTGGCCCCACCTGACCCCAGTTAAGGATGGGTGGATCCAACATTTCTATTTATATAATTAGATTATATTTTTACCATATATTTTGTGGTATGGTTTATCATTATTTGACTAAAATTTCATGTCTAAATGACCGTCTACAGGTGGTTCAGAATGCCTGTGCTCGGCTTCTGACCAAGTCCTCCAAACACACACATCTCCCCGCTTCTCCTCCAGCTTCATTGGCTGCCAGTCAACTTCAGGGTCCATTTCAAGACCCTGGTTCTGGTCTGTAGGGCCTTACATGGACAAGCACCATCTTACATTGGTGATCTTCTCAGTCCCTACACCCCCAGCAGGTCCCTGAGGTCCAGTGATCAAAGCCTACTGGTTGTGCAGCACCAGGCTAAAGACCAAAGGTGACAGATCATCTGCTGCTGTGGCCTCCAGACTCTGGACCTCTCTCCCCCTGAGCCTGAGATCAGTGGACTCAGTGGTCTCCTATAAAAAGCAGCTGAAGACTCACCTGTTCAAGCTGGCTTTTGTGTGACCTTCATGACCCTCTCTTTATTCTGTTCTCCCCACCTATTCCACCTCCCTCAGGATCCACTGATTTCCCTCTTTCCTGTTCACTCTCTCTCTTTCTTAACATTTTTTTAATCACAATTGTCTATTTTTGCTCATTTTGAATATATTTTAAAACATTTTCTAAATGCTTTTTCATATTTTTACATTTTTTGTTTTTGTGAAGCGCCTCGTGATTTTTATCTTGAGAGGTGCTATAGAAATGATATTTTCTTCTTCTTCTCCCCGTTTTTAATGTAACAGGGAGTCTAAGTCTCCTCCCTCTCCGGTCGGCTCTTGGGTCTTTGGAGGAACGATAAAAGGAAAAAGTAAACAGAACTAAAAGAGTTGCTTTCTTATCCGCTTTGCCTTACGACCTGCATCACACATATGTTGTACATCAGTCTAAATGAAAAATGATGACGTGTGCTTTGACCACGCCTGTCATGTACTTTGAGATTTATCAGCTTGTAAACGTTTGTAATTAGCATGACTACAAATTAGACATCGGCACGTCGCATACATGGCTTCACCATACAATGTCCTCTCCCCTAGCGTAGCGGCTACTCACCACTTGGCCAGATTTATGGTGGTTCTTTGAATTTGAAGTTTGCTGAATTTACAACCATTTTCCGTGTGTTCTTCTCCGTGTCTGGTTCGATGACGTACATTTGGTGATATGCATTTGTAGTCCTGGTTGTATTTTCACACAAAACCTAAAATAACTTTTGCCCCAGTTGATAATAAGCGCTTTATTGGCATCAAAATGTGTCTTTAAAATTCACGGACATCACACGTCATGAAACATAACAAACGGGATTAGAAAATAGCGTTTTTAGCCCCAGTAGACGGGCGTGACTCTCTCTAAAACGCACAGGCACGCCACGGATGCTTAACTCAGCTGAGGAGGAGTTGCTGGTTGTCCCTCGCTCCGAATACAGATCGAGGGCTGGCCGTGCATTCTCGGTTTTGGCCCCAACTCAGTAGAAGGAGTCGCTATTAAGCA